GGGAGGAGTGAGCAAGCGGCTGTGTGGTACTCAGTTGCCGACTGAGGTTAAACCATAACACCAGTCACCACCCAGATGTAGCCCCATTCACTACAACCTTCAAGCCCTGTCGTTCAGCCAGTTCTTCACCCAGAGCACCTCATCTCACAGTTGGACAACTTGTCCAGAAGAATGCTGTCAGGGACAGTATCAAAAGCCTTGCTAAAATCCAGAAAAACTACATCCGCTGCCTCCCCTTCATCCACTAGGCAGGTGACCCTATCATAGAAGGATATTAAATTAGTTAAACAGGACTTTCCCTTTGTGGACCCATGTTGACTGTGCCTGATGACTGTATTGTTCTTTAAATGTCTTTCAATAGCACCCAGTATGATCTTCTCCATAATTTTTGCAGGTACTGAGGTTAGACTAATAGGTCTGTAGTTTCCTGGGTCTTCCCTCATGCCTTTCTTGTAAATTGGAATATTTTTGGCTAGCTTCCAGTCAGCAGACCTTTGGTAGATGATCGAGAGGGGTCCTGCTATAACATCTGCTACCTCCTTCAGTGCTCTGGGATGAATCTCATCAGGCCCCATGGACTTACGAACGTTCAGCTGATACAGCTGGTCCCTTACAATTTCAGCGTCCACAAATGGAAAGTCACGGTTTCCACACTCATGGCCCTCCAACTCAGGGGACCGCGCAGCCTAAGGTCTATCAGTATTATTAAAGACTGAGGCGAAAAACGCATTGAATGCCTCTGCTTTTTCTTCATCCCACTTAGTCAGATGACCATTTTCAGCAAGTATCAGTCCAATGTTTTCTTCAGACCTCCTCTTGCTATTAACATACCTTAAAAATCCCAAATTGTTATCTGAAACAACACTGGCCAGTTTCAACTCTAGTTCAGCTTTGGCCTTTTATGTCTTCTCCCTGCATATGCGAACCATAGAATCATAGAATCATTGAGGTTGGAAAAGACCTCTAAGATCATCGAGTCCAACCGTCAACTCAACACCACCATGTCCTAAACCATGTCCCTAAGTGCCTCATCTACTCGTCTTTTAAATACCTCCAGGGATGGTGACTCAACCACTTCCCTGGGCAGCCTGTTCCAATGTTTAACCACTCTTTCAGTAAAGAAATTTTTCCTTACATCCAATCTAAACCTCCCCTGGTGCAACCTGAGCCCATTTCCTCTCGTCCTATCGCTTGTTACTTGGGAGAAGAAACCGACACCCACCTCGCTACAACCTCCTTTCAGGTAGTTGTAGAGAGCGATGAGGTCTCCCCTCAGCCTCCTTTTCTCCAGGCTAAACAACCCCAGTTCCCTCAGCTGCTCCTCAGAAGACTTGTTCTCCAGACCCCTCACCAGCCTCGTTGCCCTTCTCTGGACACGCTCCAGCACCTCAACGTCCTTCTTGTAGTGAGGGGCCCAAAACTGAACACAGTATTTGAGGTGTGGCCTCACCAGGGCTGAGTACAGGGGCACGATCACTTCCCTACTCCTGCTGGCCACACTATTTCTGATACAGGCCAGGATGCCATTGGCCTTCTTGGCCGCCTGGGCACACTGCCGGCTCATGTTCAGCCGGCTGTCGACCAGCACCCCCAGGTCCTTCTCTGCTGGGCAGCTTTCCAGCCACTCTTCCTCAAGCCTGTAGCGCTGCATGACTCTCCATGACTCTCTCATCTTCCTGTGAAGCCTGACCTCACTTCCAGAGATCATACAATTTCTTTTTCCTCCTGACCTCCACGAGGAGTTCCCTGTTCAGCCAAGCTGGTCTTCTGCCCCGCTTGCTTGACTTACGACACCGTGGGATTGCCTGTTCTTGTGCTTCTAAAAGGTGGTTCTTAAAGACTGGCCAGCACTAGTGGACTCCTAAGCCCTCAAAAGCAGATTCCCAGAGGACGCTGCTAAGTAGCTCCCTGAATAGCTTAAAGTTTGCTCTCTTGAAGTCCAGGGTAGCAATTCTATGTACAAAATAAAACAAAAATGTGGGGATGGGAGGAGTAAGCAAAGCAGTATGTAATTGCATAACTAAAAGCCATGTAGCCTCTACTGGCAGTTCAAGTATGTTCTGGGATTTCATTTTCCACTCTTTTGTTACACGTAGTTTTATTTGTATAATAGTACACAAAAGTAAAATTTTGTAAGACTTTTACTATACTGTGCCTTAAAACTAAATATTTGAAGTAACATTTGTGTGCTTTGACACCTCTTCTGTCAACTTGTCATGGTTTTTTTTCTTGTGGTTGATAATTTGACGATTGTGTTCCTTTTTTCCAATAACTGAAATGCCACTTTTGTACATATTAAAGCATAACTAAACCACAGCACCAGTTGCAGAGTGATGTATGTTATGTGTATCAAATCTTCGTGGTTAATAGCATATGTCAGCCTCTGTGTATTACTTTCCGTAGACTATTATCTTTGTGGTCTTGTTCTCAAGATGTGAAAATTGTTTACTTTCCCTCAATGTATCGCAGAGTGAAGGTGGAGCATTTGCTTTGTGAACAAGTAGCAGTCTCGAGCAGGTCAAATATGAGTTAGCTGTCAAAATTTCAGAAAAGCTGTATTAAGAGAATATTAAGGATGCCAAACCAGACATTGAGAAGCTAAGAAGCAACAATTAAAATCGGTTGAGTGACCTTCATTTTTTCTCCTTCTGAATGCCATGCGACAGCCTTCAATAGTTACAGGATCATGTAATTTTCCTTCCCCTGCAGCTGCTCCCCCGATATCCCTGTTGCTGCTTAGAACAGAAGCTTGCTGTAGGAGGAAACTATCAATGCTGCTCTTTATTTTTTGTATCGCTTACTTCCTTACCTCTGATGTTGTTTACTAAATGTACTTCAAATGCTGTCTTGCATATGGAACTACATTACAGCTTCAGTGTTCAAATTCCTTACAAATGTTAGTGGTTTATTATTATCATCACAGCTTTCTAAAAATACTGCTGGAGTGGTAAAAATAGCATTGTCAGAAAGTCACATTGAATCCAGGCTTTCCCCAGCAGGCCTGTTGTCTTTTGTCAGGGTTGAGTCAGGAGGCAGTAGGATTCAGTAGGACTCCCCTGGAGCACAGACCCTGATACTGCAGCTTTGGTATCCTTTCTCCCCCCACCCCCTTCCCGATTAAGTTTCTGAAGAACAAGAGAAATCTACAGGAGCTGGGCTAATCTCTAACTTCAGTAAATTCATACTGTCTGTCGTGCTGGTATATCTGTATAATACCAACATAGGGGTATAATCATCACAGCTTATGAACCCGATACAGGCTATCTGATGGACTTGATTTCAGTGGGCATGGGTTATCTGAGGTTCTGGGTTGCAAACAGGAAGAAAGTTGTCTCTGTAGGGGAGAAGAATAACAAAGCAGCTTGCAGGGCTCATATGTGTTCATACTGGTGACAAACTAGTCCGTTTGGGGGGGGGGGGGGGGTTTTTTGGGTGGGTGGGTTTTTTTTTTTGATAAATCCGCTTTTTGTTCATTTTTATGTCTAATTTTTCCAGTCATTTCTAGCGTGTTGCCTTTTCCAAATAATTTAGAAACACATTTGGCTGTTCTTATGTTTGACTAGGTCTGTTTATCAAAGTGCAATTGTTCTGTTTCTTCTAGTACCTTCACCAACGCAGATCGTAGTAACATCCAAAAATTTCAGAACTGTCTTGCATTGGCAGTACCCACCTATGTCTGAAACTCCTCATTTTATTGTGGAAATCAAACCTTACAAGTAAGTTCTTACTCTTTTGTCATTTCCTGTACCTGATATTCTCTAGAAGCGTATAAAAGCAATCAGTCCATGGTAAATTCTTTTGTTTCTATGTGGTGAAGTCATGTAGGGTGAAGGTTGCCTAAGTGTAAATTAAGGCAAAATTTGTCAAATAACAGGATGGTTGAGGTTGGCAGGGACCTCTAGAGGTCTTCTGGTCCAACTCCCTTGCTCAAGCAGGATCACCTAGAGCCAGTTGCCCAGGACCATGTCCAGATGGCTTTTGAATATCTCCAGGGATGAAGGCTCCACAACCTCCCTGGGCAGCCTGTGCCAGTGCTCGGTCACCCTCAAAGATATTTTGTTACAGGCAGTGTATTGTACAATATTGTGCAATTGGAATTGTATTAACTTTTACTTGATCTGTTTTACAGTTTAGGTCGCTATAAGATCGTCTCAACTTGTGTGAACATTTCAGCTCATTTTTGTGATCTCTCAAGGGAAATACACGAGCTTTTTGCCTCTCACTGGCTTCGAGTTAAAGCTGTTGTTGGGTCACAACAGTCTGAGTATGTTGAGACAAATGAGTTTATTTTGCAAAAGCATGGTAAGTTCCATCATAAACTAAACCCTGTAATTTTTTCCCAAAATTTAAAAAGTTAGTAATTATCCTTTTCGCTGTATTATTGTGTCTCATTTGGGAATATCATCAGGAGTCCAGGGTGAAATGAAGCATGATGGTTGTTCTGTAGGAACTTCTGTAGTTCTGCCTCTATAGGGACTTGTTAGCCCTGTCACTGTGGTATCTGAATATTTTTTCAAAACTTCTAAAGGCAAGAAAGTGATGCTGACTGTGCACTCTGTGCATACTTCCCATATTCTTGCCTGGTGTCCCAGACACCAATTTAGGGTAGGAAACTGCCACTGGAAGCTGTGGACCTTTAGGAATCATTGAAGTAGTATTCAGGTGGTTGGTGATGCCTTGCTTGACACTGTAATCCCATGTACTGGCAGCTTTGGGTGTCTAGATACTATCTAGAAGCTATCGGAGCCCACTGTAGCTGGATAACTAACAGTTACTCATTATTCATGTAAATCCTTTGGGCTGCTTCAGGAGAAATCAGTTTTTCACATTAATATTGTACAAATTAATTGTGTGTCTAGACTCCAGGCCAACCTGTCCTAAAGAGTGGGGCAGGCCCCAGCATTGCATGGGCAGTGCAAAGCAGACACAAGAGAGTGAGGAAAGACTGAGAGTTCCTCTCGTACTTGCTCCGTTCTCAACATAGAGCTCTCAGGCAGAACATTGCCCGTGAGATTTTTCCCTGACTAGGGCTATGCTATAGATAGAGTTGAATTTCTGCATTGCTGGAGCTGAAGAAGTGGAGCCCCTCTGTGTTTTCCACTATGATTCCCTCCCCACCCAATACTCCCATGACTTGGCTGGTTTCTAGTGTTTGTCAAAGGGACAGAAGTCATGGTAATAATGCTGAGTTTGACAGTTTGCAGAAAATTGATAACCACGTATGGAGGAGAGAGACAAAATCATTTTCCCATTGAACAAGAAACTCATATGTTCAGTCAGATCATTAGACACCAAAAATTCATGTAGGCCATTGCCATGGGAAATCAGGCTTCCTAAGTACTGTTGCTCAAGGTGAGGTTTGTTCAGATTTTCAGATATCCTTTGTTTCAGTACAGTATTGTTTTTAGCTGAGCGTGATTTATGGTGGGATCCTAGTCAGCAGTATTTTGTGTTCTGTTCTCATTCAGATATATATGTTTAATTGCTTTGTTAGGTTTTTTTCCTGTTGTCAGTGAGCTGAATTTTTACGGCCTTATGTGTATAGGAAAGTTAGATTGCTTAACAGTGATATTCTGCATGGACAATCTCCATTTCCATTTTAGAAGCAGATTCATGAATGTATCCAAATGCCTCTGTTACTTCTAAGTGTCACAGCTGTGCAATATTAACAGCATTGAAATAAACATGTAATTCTTCTTAGATCTCTGATGAATTTTGGAAATCTAACTATAAATAGCATATTTTCTGTTAAAAGCTTTGGCCTAATAGCAAAGGTGCAATGTGTTGCAGGAAAAATAGGACCACCAAAACTGAATCTCTCAAGGCACGGTGATAAAATCATGGTTGATATTTACCATCCTGCATTCCCATCTGTGAAGTTTCTTCCTTGGATCAGAGACATTTATTCAGACCTCATGTACTTGGTGACATTTTGGGATAGTAAAAATCAGGTAAGTTCCAAAATGAAAACTTCAAATTAAAAATACTCGTTTATCTTAAGCGCATAAACAAGGGGTTCGCTCCTATGACACACAGAGCCAACAGCTATCAAGAAAACAGTTGAACATAACATATGACTACTGAAGACCTAAAATGTCAAGTGTGTCACGGTGAGGTATGTGACTGGAAGGTCTGGATTTTGGTTGTCCAAATGGACATCTTATAACAAAAATGAGATTATTGCATTAGCTGTATGCAAGACAGTTACTTGATCCCATGCAATTGTTGCTGCATACGTGCTAAAACATTGGTAACTTTACTTGTGCCCCTTTGACTTGTCTAGATAGACCTTTCATTTAAGAAGATTACCTTTTGAGGTATTGATACCACTTTATTTAGCAATCATGGAGGGTGAACTTGAGGAAAATGGTAGTAGGTATGTTTATTTACAGTTACTTTTTCATATGCATCCAGATACAAGTTTTATAAGTGAATTAGGACTGTGAATCTAGACTATGAACAGCGCAAATTTTAGCTGAAAGCACCATGGTCTGATCAAATATAACATCTTAAGGTAGCTCATAAGCTGATAGCCGAAGTTCACACAGCTTTTGCAAGGCATATAGATGATGTAGGAGCCGCATCTAATAGTGTTTTAACATTTTTGGAAGTGTTGGAAGGTACTGTAACATTTATATTGTTGTATTGAGTCAAATGATATAATGTGACTTTCATTTTTTGCAGAGTAAAGAAGAGTTCCCTGAAGACAACTGTACGCTGTATAAATGTAGCCTTAACATCCCAGTTCCTGCTGAAGGTTCCACTTACTGTGTTTCAGCAAAGGGAAGTTTATATGGCGATTTGATGATTGGCGCCTCATCAGAAGAAAGCTGCATTCATGTTCCACTCAAGCAGACATTGAGTAAGAGGATTCTAAAACTTTAGTAAGAACATACTGAGTCTGACCAGAGATCTGTTCCAGCTAAGTATTCGAGCTCTGATACAGCCATGGGATGACGTGGATGCCTATGGGAGAATATGAAAAAAGGGAAAGCATGGTCATTCTTTTCCAAATGCACTTTCCCAGTTCTAAAGACCTCTAAAGATCCTGTATTATTTTCAAGTAACCCTGACTTTTTTTTTTGGGTGCTTTTCCTGCTTCATTGGTATTACAAAACCTGTTTCCATTGCACCTGATCATTGGTGTAATTAACAAATGAATCATTCACTGAGTTATATGGTTTTCAGAAGCGTCGTCTCTCTCTTCTAACAAATGGCTTTTTGCTCAGTCTTAGCACTGAGGAAAATGTATATAGACTTTCCTGAGTTTGGAGCAACTATAAACTTGTGGTCATAAAATTGAGGTATTGACATCTTTTAATTAAAGAGAATAAAGGCAGCTAGTGACCCAACTTTGTATCTCTGATAACCTCTTACAAACTTTTTAATGTTACTTCATTATGGCCCAAAACTTCACTAGAGGAAAGAGATAAAATTGATAGACGCAGTTGTGTTCTTTCTTTTCACACAAGAGCAGCGGTATGATTGAGGGGGAGGACATTAAGGAGAGTCAGACTAGTGGAATCTTACAAGCAATAGTTAACAATTCTATGTTTTGGAAGATTTCACATTTTAATTTTATTGTACATAGACTATGTGTAATTATTATGCCAGTTAATGTGCTATCACATGGAAAATGTACAAATCTGTTCATCCCCATCTGTCATCTCTAAGGAACAAAACATTAGTTATAAAATTCCTTTACCTCTATAAAAACATGTTTGTGTTTATATAAATTGAAAGTCTTCTGTCATTCTAATTTTTATTTACTTGATATAATGCTTTATAAATTAAGTTTTCTTGAGTGAAAAAAGGTGATAAATTGACAAATTCACACATTACAGCTAAGCATTCTGAGCTATTACAGTTTCTGAAGTTATTCTAAACGATACAGCAGTGGTTTATTTTTCCAAACTTCCTAACAGATTTTGCTCTAACTTCTTAGGCACACAAGTTGTCATCATTCTGTGTAGTGTTATTCTGAGTGTGAGTCTAATTTTGGTAGTATGCTGTGGCTGCAAGAAACTAAGGAAGAAGAACATAAAGCTGCCTAAGTCTTTGGTAAGTTCACACTTCTTATCCATGTCAGACTTTTAAAATCCAGCTGGGTAACTTTTATAACTATAACATCTTTATGCCTGTCTTTTTTTTTTTTTTTCTTTTCCTTTTTTCCCTTCTTTTTCTTACCATGGTCTTATAGATGTTTAGGATTTATACCAGTCTAATATTCTGACCGCCTCTGCAACCAGATGCCTTGTACTTGTTTTAGGGCTAGACTTCAGTCTCTTTTTAACTGAAGTAGCAGTAGTTGGGCTAGTTTGAGAACTTAGTTCTTAAAAACTCAGTGTGTCTGTGTGTGTGTACATAGCCAGGTTTGTATTCATTCTAGTAGCAGAGACACAGAAGCACAGAATCATCATAGAACCATAGAATAGTTTGGGTTGGAAGGGACCTCTAAAGGTCATCTAGTCCAACCCCCCTGCCATGGGCAGGGACATCTTCAACTAGATCGGGTTGCTCAGGGCCCCGTCCAACCTGACCTTGAATGTTTCCAGGGATGGGGCATCCACCACCTCTCTGGGAAA